TCAGCTGGGAACAGGCACGCAGTATCTCGGTGCAGGTGCTGGTCCATGAATCAAATCGGTGGACAGGAGTAACAAGAAAATCGTGATTGATAGAGGTGTCCGTTTAAACACCAAAAGTTTTGAGCAGCATGAATGGCCCACACTGTCAGTTTCATATTTATAACGTCATGTTCAATCCTCCCGAGGCTAAGAATGCACGATATTTAAGAATGAAAACACCACACTCGGCCCTTATCCACAGTCCCTGTCCGCACTATTTTGGTACACCTGCACTTGTCATAGCCTTCTTATGTAGATCCTGTGCTGACACCACTGGCCTTGGTCCCCGGCATACCAAGCATCGCGCAGCATTCCCTCTTACCCACTCTTCCTAGATATCGCCCGATCGAGTTCCTCTGCCACATGGCGCGCTCTTTGGGCCCCATGACGTGCAGTTCAGGTGGATTACCGTCCCGGGGCGGTCGGAGCTTCTGACGGCGCCATTACCCTCGGATAATAGCTTCTGGAGATCGTCAGCGAATTAGACGCAGAGTAAATATGCAGCGTCACAAAGCGATACGACGCTGACGTGCTATAATTGAGTGGAAAGTGGACGGCTTTTGCGGTGGGACACACAGCACCATAAGGTTGTGGGTCTATCAGCATAATCTGGGTGATATGATCTCAAGACGTAAATGGGTCGTTTAAAATCCTTGGCAGAAGATTTGGGAGACCATGGAGAGTCGTGCTACGCTCTACTAATCGGCACGTAGGTACTATCCTTATCATAAACGGGAGTGTCAGGACAGGAAAATGTTTTGACAAAGCCCATCCATAACTAATGAATGGAGCGCAGTGCGCTCCATTCATTAGCTCACCCTTCCCCCCCCCCCCCCGTACATCTATCCGTGCTGGGTAACAGCCACTCTGTGGCACAGGAAGGCAACAATAAGAGCAGCACAGGAACACCCAATCAACAGCAAATACAGGAAATCGAGCGGAAAGAGGGATACGTCTATCAAAGTTACGATGCTTATGGATGAGTAGGCGATATGGAACTGATTTTCCAGGCTGGTTCCAGGATACACGGCTGTCTCAGGATAACACTGCAAGACAGGGACGTCTGATCATTAAACGAACAAGTCTTCTATTTTGAGGAGTAGCATTTCCGCCGGAACATTGCATGCTGTTCGACAATCAATGCACAATACCGGAAAGCAGCGCATGAGAACTTCACAAACCAGGAAAATGGCAGCGTAATGACCGGTTCTTTAATGCATCTCTAATGTGGCGCCACTTGCGCATTCCTTGGAAAAAAAATATTTTGCCATTTTCCTTTCCACTGTACCTAAATGAGTGAAATGCATTCGTTAGCAACGTACAGATGTCCTAAGAAAAGCGGGAAACAGAGTCTGAATAAGATAAATGAGGAAAACAAGCAAAAGCAGAAAGGAAGGAAAGTCAAAGGAAAAAATATGGTTGGAGACAATTTAAATCATTTTCAAACAAACCTCAACGAAGGTCAATGCAGAACGTACGAATCCATGTGGCCGAGAGGGATAGGGAATAAAATGGCCGCTCCGGATGTGATATTTTGGGCGAGATAACAAAAAGCCGCACTTGAAGCAGGTCTCCCAGTCAGGCTGCCACCTGTTACAACAGAGTCCACATGCAGGCACTCCACCAACCCTGTCCTCCAGTCCAGCCCGCCAGTTTCAAGCTCTGTAATCGCTGAGCCTATACAGTCTATTCCGTCCTGAAAATCTACCGATGACACTTGAATGCACATCACACCATGACAGTCCTGAACCATCTCCGTCCCAACCCAGACCAATCCAGCTCAGTCAGCACAGTCCCAGACCATCCCCGTCTAGCCTGGTCTGGTCTGAAACACTCCATCACACATCGTGACTGAGGGGCCGACGTTTCGTGACCGGCTCCCGTCCACCGGGCTGCCGATCGACGCCGGCAGGGAGCCCACATACACGACACCAGCCAGCTCCACAGCTAAATACAGCGCTACCTGGGTCAGTCGACCAGCACTATAAGGAAACGGCACCGCTCTACGATTGACTGCTGGGGAACCGACGCATGGAGATAAAGTTCGTCAACAATGAGCAGCCAATAGAGGTGAGCATCATCGGAGAAGATCAGGCGACGGACCGTCTACTCTAACTGAATGCCGGCGGTTAAGAAATACACAAGCAGTGATTAATGAGACAGTCGTCTTGACAGATTATCGAACAGGATTTGCTTTTACAGCCCTTTTACCGTCCCTTGACAGTTCAGCTCCGTAATTGCGTTATACATCCCCACAGGAATGCAAAACGAATGAACCATTTCACTCGAAACGCTGAGAATCAACAATGCATGCGAGAATCGGAGCAAACTCACACGAAACCAGCATTCCAAACACCTGCGCTCGCTATCTTTCCATTTTTCCCATACGCTGCCGGTTTGTCCCTGCCACGCGACCTTCCTTGGCACCGGCCGACTGGAGCCGGGGTAGAGGAGGCTTCTTCGAACACCGGTCACGTACGGGTGGCGCAGGGTCAGGGCAGACGGGATCTCATGACGTAACGGGCCCGACGCGGTGCCTCCGGCTCAGCATCCCTGGCGCGGAGCCGTCTAACATTGGACACGAGGCCGGCATCGTTCGATCGCTGCCCATGGGCGTCGTGGAGAGGCTGGGGCTTCCATGGCTTCAAAAGCTGTGGGTGCCGCTGCTTGTGGAAACGCCGGCAGTGGCGTCATGGTTGCTGAGCAATGGAGCCGTGAATACGACGGAGTCAGTTGTGACGAAAGCATGGAAGTTATAACCTATGCAATGAAAAAAAACGTAGTGACCACTAACCATGTCAGCAAACTGCAACGCTACAATTACTTGAATTTCGCCGGCTCCCTGAAGTCACGGTATGCCCCAGCCAAGAGGATCTGTAAGCGACCCACATATGCTTGCTTTCCAAGAAGCACAAACAATGTGCGCAAAAGAGCACAAGTCTGCTAAAAGTCCGACGCAAAAGGCCACCCACGCTACAGGAGCGTGAGGAAAACGGTTACCGGTAAACCGAGGTCGACCTTTCCCCATCAGCCGCAGCGGCACGCACGCATTAGGCTCTCGAGTCTAGTACACCACAAGCTGCGCAGGTGTCTTCTGCAGTGCGTGCTGGCAGCGACCACCACAGCGGCAGCTTTATGACATCATCTGTCGAACATCTTGCGCGACCCTGCAACATTCCTGTCGACATTGTGCGCGGCGAGGTCGCGGTTTCTATCACCGGGCGTTCCGCGAACAATGTCAGGAAACCCGGCATCCGCGGGGTCGCCCATCTAGTCGACCGACGTCAACACCTGTGTGTTGAACTGAACCGCCCCTGTCCCTGGTAACGCTGTCGTCGTCCCTGACATCGTCGTTGCAGCTCTGTCGGCTGCAGAGGTCGTGAGAACCTCTGCTGGCTGCAGGACTGCACACGTGCGCCAGGAAAAGATCCGCCCCGCCGCAGCTCGCCGTCCAAATCAACAGCCTCTGCTCGGGCCGCGCCGTGATTTGGCCGCGAGTGGAATCGCTTGCGCCACGCCCCGGGGCGCTGTCGAAATGCCGCAGCGCGCCGAGTTCGCCACCACTCGACGTCGAAGCTGGCTGACAGCCGGCGGCGGGCGAGTGACAAGCCGCGAAAGTTTACTACACGCCGCACACACGCGCACGCAAACACGTACCGGAGTCGATATAGACAGGTAAACCGGTACCACTGACGGCCTCAGCTGCAGCGCTAGCACGGAGGCGGGGTGTCGCAATCCAGCCGTGTCGCGAAAGGCGGGACCACGCCGCACGGATGACAAAAATGCTCGACAGTGCGCCGGTCGCGCATTGCGGCCCTTCTCAATCACCAGTCGCTGGCCTTAGGTCAGCGTGACGCGGCTGTCTCTCATTCCCGCCGCGTGTAGGAGGGATTACAGCCGGCGGATCGCCCCCGCACCGACCGACCATCGCTTCACATCCGGTCTTGCGCGGACGGATAGAGGCTCTGTTTCCGTACTTGGAATACCGCCTGAAACCCGGGCCCCGGCCGGTACACGAACACACCGGGCAGTAATGCGATCAGAGCAGGCCCTCCGTCAGACAGGCGAGGCAGGCGCGGCCCCACACCATCCGAGCATGGGAAATCCAGGCTGAGAATACTGCGCAGAATGGAGAGGAGCACGGGAGGCGGCATGGCTGGGAATCGATCCCCTTCAGACAGACCGTCAGACTGATGTTGACAGTGACGGTCATGTTATTAGCGCCGGCAATGTCCGTTGCCATTGAATGGACTAGTTTCGACAAGCACACAAGCTCGAGTAGCGTCCCAAATGTCACGTCTTTCTCACAGCTCTCTAGCGATAACAGCTAGTTGGTTACCTCGACGTGACCAGACGGACAATCAACAACTTGTCATCAATCGACACACAGCCCCGTCAACACCCGTCGCTGCATCATAATTTGGAAAACCGTCACGCCACCAATCGAGGTCACACGACAACCGTTCGTCAAACCGCGTGACAGAACCTAGCTCAAAACCCTAGGACCCACGCCCGCGTTTAAACAGACTGGCATCACATTTGAATGTTTGATACGTCAATTACCATGCCGTCTGTGGCCGGTAGTGTCTGCCCCAGGCTGTCCGAGACTACATATGCATCAGAGCTGGTTCTCGGACACTGGTTTCTGAACCGTGGTTCCTGAGCGATGGTTCCTGAACGATGGTTCCTGGACCCCGGTGTGCTCCGGCGTCCTTTAGAAGGCTGGCGTTGGATGCTTTGGGACACTTATGCCGAGCTAGCGGATCCCCAGCTCCGTTGGTGCGTCGTGACGAACACAAGTGTGAGTGGTAGCGAATCTACCACGCCCCGCCCAGTTCTTGCCTCGCCCAGTCCGTTGCACAGGTGCGAGTACCGCGTGCCACCGTGTCATTCGTCTCACCCGCCTTTATTGACATGTCACGACGAAGGGTGGGGCCCTGTACCCAATGAACTTCACTTACCATGGCGACCGATGGTATCCAGTGGCTACACAGGCTTCAGGAAGACACAAGTTGAATTTCTGTCGCACTTGGCCCAGGCAGGCAGACCACAGTTGCTTTGGTAGATCAGAGTAGTCCACACCGATTCCAGCTGACCAAGGCGATAGCGGATGACGTAGACTAACACTGATTATTAGCGAGCGGCCTACCAAGGTTGTAGATCTTCAAATGTCCATTAAATGTCAATCGTTCGCTAATCGAGAGAAACTTTGACAGACTTCAGAGCACCTCAAAGTGCCTCCACAAACCTTGGCCGACCACAGAAGACTTCCAAATCCACACACGAGTGAAGATATCACCAAGGCTGGCACTCCCTACGAACCTCAGAAGTCCATGCACACGCCAGCACGAATCAGCCGCCACTACCGGTCGGCTCACGCCAGTCACGAAATCCCTGGTGAGTCTGCCGGTTCCTCGGAAGCGCCGCCGTCGCTCGGCAGCCACCGCTGCACACTGGCCGGGGAGCGGCGGGTCGGCCGGCCTCTGGGGGCGGGGCGGCCGCCGCCGGGGGCGCGGGGCGGGGCACGCCGATCGAGCGGAGAGAGAGGCAGCCGTCGGCGGTCACCGCCAGACAGAGGAACTGACTGCCGCTGCCGTCTGCGCTCACTGACGACACTCTCACTCCCCACAGCAGACGGTCAGACAGAGACGTGGAGAAACGGGGCCGGGGGCAGCGGCCACCGGCGGTCACCACCGGACAGTGGTCAGCGACGAACGGTCAGCGACCAGCGCGGCGGCCCACAACACTCTGCCGTCCGCACTTCCCCAGTGAGTAAGCCGGTGAGGCCGCGCCAACCAGAGGCTGTGCCGACGGTATGAGGGATAGTAACTCCGGTTACGACACCGTAACCTGCATAAACTGCGGATAGGGTCATCACTATCTCTTCAACTCACGGCGGCCGCAATCACGAAGCAGAGACCATATTAAGGCAGACATGAAACATGCCGCGGGGATATAGTTACTGGAAAAGTTACTGGATAACAGATTTCGCAATCGGTCAAGTTCTACCACTTTATCGATTACTGCACGCCAGTTTATTTTTGGGCCATACAACCCTACAAAAATATGCGTAGACATTTCTAGACAGCTGGGCTACAACTTAACCCTCGCCCTGGCAGGGCATTTTTCATAACACGGCCTGGCAGGGGGGGGGGGGGGTCGATGCGACCCCCCCCCTCGCGATTGGCTCCTATGGCACCTAGAAACACCAAATTTGGTAGGTAGGTGGGCCCCCTGGAGTTCTCGCCCCTGTGCAAATTTGGTTGCTCTAGGTCAATATTTAGGGGGGTTTTGGGGGGTATAAATGTCAAAATTTCGCTAAAAACAGGTCAAAAGTTTTTCGCTTATAACTTTTGATCTATTTAAGATAGAGCAAAAAGAAAAGCACCAGTGAACTCAGCACGCCAAGGCGCGTCGAATAATATACTTTTTAGCTTGCTTAAGTGTACTTAAAGTTTTTCTTAATTTTTAAGTTTTAAGTTTTAATTAATTAATTAAGTTCAAGTTAACCAAATTGCATCATATTGCATATCATTCGATTCGGCTGATCACAAGGAACACAATGACACCATTTTTTAAGCTCTAGCGTCAATATGTGCCAAGTTATTGGCAAAAACGTGATTTGACCTCAGTTGACCTCATTTGACCTGACCCATGGATAAGTACACCAAAAAAAGAAGCACCAAGTGACCTGCTGTTATGTACTGTGGTTTCAAAGCACAAAAGTGATAGAACGAAGCGGATATCACCAGTATTTTCCGAATTTAGTATTTTCCCATAGGCTTAACATTACGACGTAATGACCTCTAACTGACCTCAGGTCAGTGAACTCAAAAAACCCGAACTATATGTTATACAACTCGGTGAACTTAGCACATCCTGAAAGTTTGAAGGAAATCAGTCAAAAACTGTGAGTTGGACAGGTGCAAAAAGAAAATTGAAATTTGACCATGACCTTGTACCGGTTTTTCTGACCTGGTGACCTGACCCAAGGTCACCCGGACCTGAATTTTTCAGGTCATATGTAAAAAGGTTGCCCCATAGGCTGTGCCAAATTTGGCTCTTCGAAAAACCTTAGGGGGGGTCGCATCGACCCCCCCCCCTGCCAGGGCGAGGGTTAAAACCAGTATAACGCCTTTTGGGGCGACTAACGGAGCGAGCGAGGGGGTGAGTCTTGCACGTGCGAAATTTCGAGGGGGTACCTCCAACTGACTTGTGCACGGCACCCTACTGACCGGTTTCTAGCGATGTGCCAAATTTGAGCACAATCGGCCCAGCCGTTCTCGAGATCTGGGAGCGGCACCCTGCACGTGCGCACGTGCAAAATAGGTCCCAACTGACTTGTGCACGGCACCCTACTGACCGGTTTCTAGCGATGTGCCAAATTTGAGCACAATCGGCCCAGCCGTTCTCGAGATCTGGGAGCGGCACCCTGCACGTGCGCACGTGCAAAATGGGTCCCAACTGACTTGTGCACGGCACCCTACTAACTGGTCCCTAACCGTGTACCAAATTTGAGCGCCATCGGTACAGCCGTTCTCGAGATCTGGAAACGACCCCTGCACGTGCGCACGTGCACCAGCACCCCAACTCTGGCACATGGATATGCAGTGCCTAGTGGGTGCCTACCGACATGCCAACTTTCAGCGCAATCGGCCAAGTAGTTACCGAGATATTGCAACAATTACAAAACTGACACCTCTTCGTTTTGCACGTGGCACGTGCATAAGGGGTCACCCACATGCATCGGGAATAGTCCAATACTTGGTAGAAGGAATGACGCTACCCTACAAAATTTACCGCATGTAAATCTGTTAAGTGGTTGCTGAGATATAAGCCTAGCAAAAGCGTCCGCACGGCCGGCCGGCCGGCCGCTCATACTCAGAAATTTCCGTTAATCTAAGGAAAGACTCCGCTTGCTTCGCTCGCTCCGTAACCAGTATAACGCCTTCTGGGGCGACTAACGGAGCGAGCGAGAGGGTGGGCCTTGCACGTGCGAAATTGCGAGGGGGTACCTCTAACTGACTTGTGTACACGGCACCCTACTAACTGGTCTCCAGCAATGTGCCAAATTTGAGCACAATCGGCCCAGCCATTCTCGAGATCTGGAAGCGGCACCCTGCACGTGCGCACGTGCAAAATGGGTCCCAACTGACTTGTGCACGGTACCCTACTAACCGATCCCTAACTGTGTACCAAATTTGAGCGCCATCGGTCCAGCCGTTCTCGAGATCTGGAAACGACCCCTGCACGTGCGCACGTGCAGCAGCACCCCAACTCTGGCACATGGATATGCAGTGCCTAGTGGGTGCTTACCTACATGCCAACTTTGAGCGCCATCGGCCAAGTAGTTACCGAGATATTGCAACAATTACAGAACTGACACCTCTTCATTTTGCACGTGGCACGTGCATAAGGGGTCACCCACATGCATCGGGAATAGTCCAATACTTGGTAGAAGGAATGAAGCTACCCTACAAAATTTACCGCATGTAAATCGGTCAAGTGGTTGCTGAGATATAAGCCTCGCAAAAGCGTCCGCACGGCCGGCCGGCCGGCCGGCCGCTCATACTCAGAAATTTCCGTTAACCCGCGACCTGGTGGGGGGGGGCTATTTTTTGCCCCCCCTCCAGACTTTTCGATATATCTCCAGAACCGCTGCACCGATCGTCACCAAACTTTCAGTACCCTCCCGGACATCAATTTCACACATGGTGACCAAAATTTTTTTCCAAAGGCTATGATAGGTTGGCCGGAAATGACGTCAGAGTGACGTCATGTTCTGCCGTTTTCGACCCAAAAAAGGGTTTCGCGGGAAGAGCTGTCAGGCCTATAGCTTTGCAAATACAGAAAAATGATAAGGACATGAAAGCTGTAGAATTGACAGGGCTAGAAAACTGCTATCTCGGATTTTTGAAATTTTTGGATTTTGATCCCCAAAAATCAAAAAATAATTTTTTTGGATATAATGAATGAAAAATCCAAAAAGTTTTTTGAATTTCGCAAAAACCGGAATATATGTGATAGTCCTTACCGCCTTCCATCCACATACCAAATTTGAGATTGATACCTCTTTTTTGGCGAAGTTATAGCGAAAAAACTGTTCAAAATTGATGACGTCAAATTTTCAAACTCAATCTTTAGCAATTCTAGACCCCGTAGCGCAAAACAAAGACCACCATTAGACTCCCCGTGACAAGCTGCATCGAATCAATACCCATTTTATGCAAAACTATCAACTTTAAAATTTGACCTTTTTTGGCCTGACCTTGACCTGACCTTGACCTGAACTTCACCAGAAAGTGACCTAAGCCGTACCTGATAGTCTTATAACCAACACCATTGAGTTGGAAATGAAAAATTGGCCATAAAACATGCATCACACAACCTTAGTAAAGTTGGGCTCATGTGACCTGACCTGTGACCCTTGGTGACCTAACCTGTGACGTGACCTGGTATTGTCAGTGACCTCTAATAGCAACATATCTACTAGGCAACTGACGCCCTATCGCTGATTCTCGACAAAATGCGTTTTCCTCGGTGTTATAGCGCATTCCCTAGAAGACCCGTGAACGGTGAAACATTTCATCTTTGACCTGACCTGTGACGTCATCGGTGACCCCGAGGTCAATGAAATTTGGTTTCCCTCAACAAATTTGACAGGCCTTTCGAACGCCGTTTGAATTTTGCGGATCCGTCCAGTAGTTTCGGAGATACGAGGGGGGGGGGGCAAAAAATAGCCCCCCCCCACCAGGTCGCGTTATAAACAGACCCCACCAGGGCGCGGGTTAATCTAAGGAAAGACTACGCTCGCTTCGCTCGCTCCGTAATCAGGCAAAACTACATACCAGTAAAACGCCTTTTGGGCGACTAACGGAGCGAGCGAGAGGATGGGCCTTGCACGTGCGAAATTGCGAGGGGGTACCTCCAACTAACTTGTGCACTGCACCCTACTAACCGGTCTTTAGCGATGTGCTAAATTTCAGCGCAATCGGCCTAGCCGTTCTCGAGATCTGGAAGCGGCACACTGCACGTGCGCACGTGCAAGCGGGGTCCAAACTGACTTTTGCACGGCACCCTACTAACTGGTCCCCAACCGTGTACCAAATTTGAGCGCAATCGGCCCAGCCGTTCTCGAGATCTGGGAGCGCCCCCTGCACGTGCGCACGTGCTGTAGCACCCCAACCTTAACACATGCAGATGAATTATCTGATGGAGACCTAACTGTGTACCGAGTTTCAATTCAATCGGCCCAACCGTTGTGCCGTTATTGAGGTTGCAATTTTGGGGGTTCTTAAATGTAACATTATAAGTCAACTGATAATGTTTTTTCTCCGCGGTGAGGGCGAGCGCCGCCCATGTGATTGCGTCATACCGCCCGCTCGTCAGGTCCGCATGACCCGAGCCCGGGTCATTCGCGCTCGCAGCGCCGCCGAGAGCAGTCAGCCACTGAGCCGTGGGCTGAGCGCGGCGCTTCCTGCTTTTCGTGACGTGTCGTGTTTTTTTCGACACTGCTGCTGCTTGACAGCACTGGAGGTGAGGTGTCTTGGAGATCGCATTAGTGATAACTATGTCGATACCTTTGCGGCCGCATTGCCGATCAGCAGATATTGCATCTAGATTCTTTGCTTGGACTTTCCAAGTCTGGTCTCATCGCTGATGACATCTTAATGTTTCGCGTTACGTGCGAGCTTGACAGTCTGTGCTGTGCAGTGT